ACAGACGGATTAATGTAACTTCTCTCAAATGGCCTCGGGAGTACTGTACCTATATTGTTGTTCAAGGAATTCCCGAGAAACGAAGAATTGGTAATTCGCATGACCTAATTTGTTTTGCTCTGCGGCCCAGCCACATGGCGGGGTTCTTTTTTTCTCAGCCCCTGACATTTTCTTTGGAGGAGTAGGTATCCGACAGCTCAGCAATGAATGAGTGGTGGGATGGGATGGGGCAAATAGTGTAAAGGTTTTGCAAATTTTCTCGGGGCTGCATGTTCTTGTTGATAGATCTACAGCGTCTGTATGAGAATGCGGAAGTGTGGAAGGGTTTGTTTACGCAATTGGATGGATAGATGATGAAGTGCTTTGTAGCATTTTCTGAGATGGCCTTTCCGAATTATGATAATGATTGGCTTTTTTATATATAACACTGAGGGGGAGGAGGAGGAGGAGAAGAAATAGAAGAAGAAGAAGAAGAAGCAGAAGAAGAAAAAGAAGAACAAATAGAAGAAAGCTAAGAAAGCTCAACAGAGAATTTTGCTCTCAATAATCCATATGCCGTAGGTCCCTACACCTCTTCCATACAGATTGATATTCATGCAATCTAGAAAATCCTGAAGCTCCTTCTGGTACAAACGGGAAGCTGCTTTTATTACCCATCCTCCTGGATCTACGCTGTTGCAATGTGATTGTCCAAATAAAAAAACCAAGAAGGGGAAAGATAAGATGTGATATATACATTATGTAATTGGTCAATCCCAGCTTGGTATCAAAGTATTAAGAAATCGAATTGCGTTTTATAATTGAAGCTTCTAGCGTTCTTCATTGGTTCTTCTACTGCTTTTTAGTCTTGCATACTATGGAGTCCGTCATCGGCTTTCTAATCTTTCCTTCTCTTCCTTCTCTTCCCTCACTTCACTTCCCTCACTTCCCTCACTTCCCTCACTTCCATCACGATTTCGCTAAACTTTTTCTGTCTTCACTTCTTTTTTTTCTTTTCTTTTTCTGATGAGTATAAACCCACACAATTAACAATTGACCAATCAAATGATTCCAACACAACATCACGACTAGCTTCATGACCAAAAAGAACAAAGCGGCATTCAACCTTTTTTCCAACTTGATGAATCTTTTTTAACTTTGTACTATCCCATCTGTCACACCAAAATACAACTCCACAATTTTTAAACTTTCCACTTCATTGAATTGATTCTTCCTGAACATTTACCTCTCAACATCTTCAAAACTCTTCCTTCCACTGAACTATCAGATACGAATAGAAAAGTCGCGCGTATGAGTGGTCGCTCGTCAGTTTTTACTTCTCAGGTACGTTCTCTTTCTTTGTCTCTGGCTATGAAATGATGATCATGATGATGAGGATGAGTCAAACGTCATGAATTCTCAATTGTCTTATCTTGGGGCTTGAATTTGGAAGTCAAACCTTCTACTGTCCTTTTCCATAAGATATGACTCTTCATCAATCAAAACATCTACAGCAACCTCATTACTTAAGAGCGATTAGACTAACAACATGTTCTTGTAGGATTACATCTCAGGTTCGCACATAACCCTATCCATGACCCCTCCCAACGAATACTTACCATGGCCAAAATTCTAACAACCGTCTCCTAGATCACATCTGGAAAGCTTCAGTCAACTGAAATAGCTTTCTCAAACCTGCCGCCTACTAAATTATACAAATACAAACAACTGCAATCATGTTCTCCCGATTCGTAAAGCCTGCAGCTTTCAAGCCGACCGGCCATGGCATCCAAAGAGTTGCACAACAGACTAGATTCCTAGCTACTGTTGAAGGAAGTGCTGGTCGTGCCATGCCATACACCCGTCCTCGTGCTACTCCAATCTCCCATGACCGAGCGACATTCACAATCAGGGTATGTTACATTGGTTGACATGTGAAGAAATTTCTGAGTTGACGATCTGTGACAGGATGGCCCAGTCTTCCATGGCAAATCTTTCGGCGCAAAATCCAACATTTCTGGTGAAGCCGTGTTCACGACATCCCTCGTGGGTTACCCTGAATCCATGACCGATCCCTCTTATCGTGGACAAATTCTTGTTTTTACTCAACCGTTAATCGGAAACTACGGTGTTCCATCATCTGCCAGAGATGAGCACGGACTTTTGAAATATTTCGAGTCACCAAACATTCAATGTGTTGGTGTGGTTGTTGCAGATTATGCTGAGAAGTACAGTCATTGGACCGCTGTGGAAAGTTTGAGTGATTGGTGTGCCCGTGAGGGTGTACCAGCCATTTCTGGTGTTGATACCAGAGCTATTGTCACCTACTTGAGAGAGGAAGGTTCTTCTTTGGCTCGAATTACCATTGGAGAAGAATACGATGCCGATCAAGATGAGGCTTTCGTTGACCCTGAACAAATCAACTTGGTCAAAAAAGTCAGCACCAAAGCTCCATTCCACGTTAGCTCTGCCCACGGAGATATGCACGTCGCAGTTATCGATTGTGGTGTTAAGGAGAACATTCTCAGAAGTTTGGTCAGCCGTGGCGCAAGCGTTACTGTCTTCCCTTATGATTTCCCAATTCACAAGGTCGCCCACCATTTCGATGGTGTCTTCATTTCTAACGGACCGGGTGACCCAACTCATTGTCAAGAGACTGTCTACCATTTGACTAGATTGATGGAATCATCTCAATTGCCAGTCTTCGGTATTTGCCTTGGACATCAATTGCTTGCTCTTGCAGCTGGTGCCCGCACCATTAAGCTCAAGTACGGAAACCGTGCCCACAACATCCCAGCTCTTGACTTGACCACCGGCCAATGTCACATTACCAGTCAAAATCACGGTTATGCCGTTGATATGACTACTCTCCCATCCGATTTCAAGGAGTACTTCGTCAACTTGAACGATGGATCCAACGAAGGTCAATATTTCCCAAAATCCTTTCTTGAACACTAGCTAACAAACTATAGGTATGATTCACAAGACCCGCCCAATTTTCTCTACACAATTCCATCCTGAGGCCAAGGGAGGACCAATGGATTCCTCTTACCTCTTCGACATGTACATTGAGAACGTTCAACGTTACAAGAAGAACCAAGCTGTCTACCCAGCCGGCAAGGACAACAGACCAAACCCTCTTCTTGTAGACATCTTGTCGAAGGAGCGTGTTGGCGTCGCTCCAGCTCAGGTTGCTGCCGCCGCTTAAGTTTAAGGTTAACTGTAATTCAATGGGAATTTTTGGAGCGTGGGATCTGAATCGACTTTCACTGGCGTTAGTAATTTGTTGAAATCTGACAGGCTTTTCTTGGAAGTCCATAGTTTTTAGTGGTTTCGAATTAGTGAATACAAAACTGAAATTAGCCGCGAGATCGTCTTTTCGTACAAAATACGTGTGATCATGAAATTATTGCAAAGCTATTTCATCAAGGGAATCAAGTGATGAAGTTGAACCCTCTTTTCTTCAGAGACCTACTAATCGCGAGTTCATAAAGAAGAGAAATGTTATTGATATACTACAAATCTATCGATCAGAGATTCGCTATTGGTCGCTTGGCATACTATTTTCTTCATCTGATCCCGACGCCGAAACCAATTATTGCTCGATGTTCGGTGTCGAATTAATTTATCTGATAATTTTTATTTCGGAATTCCGACCACAGAAAAGTGCACGACAAGCCTGGAATTTAGGGGCATGGCCCGCAAGGCTCGCTTAGAGATACCTCATCACATGGGTAGGTTTGAATTGAGACTTAGCACGAACAAGAAATTGATTATATCGATTCTCGATAGAGAATTGACGCATTCATACAGAGAACATGGGATACTATTCTTTAATTGCCTAAGTCCACAATCGGCGGTATCTTTCGTGTTTGTCAACGCCTGAGGAGAATTACAATGCATATATGATTATCTAATTTTAATCTGCCGATTCAACGTCTGACGCTTCTGCAAGTAACTAGACCATCTAAATATCTCTCTAGGCTTTTGAAAATGCTCTGAAATTCTTCCCCTCGAATTGGCTATTTGTCAGTAGGGTTATTCTTGCAAATGCACGGGAAATGGGACTTCGAAAGCTTCCAGCCGCCGCCGTATCCAGGGACTTGATTATAACGAAGCACTGCAGAACAGCAAATGATTCTGGCGGCTGTTTAACAGGATGGGTTTGGATAGTAAAATAACTCGGTATTGGTGTCTACCGTCGTCAACTGTGCTTATATTGCAGCACACAGGAACTTCCGAGGCCGCAAGAATACCAAGTAGAACCTCTCTCAGTCTGGAGATCCAACAAACTAGAATGCTCACTGTGCCCAGTGTATGCATGTATCTCAACCCATTAAATGCTCCAATGAGGGTGAGGGATTGTAATGCTGAGTGGTCATGTGATACTCGCTAGATTGTAGGCAAATAATGTTTCAACTGCGCCGCATAAGTCATAAACAAACGGATAGATGATCCTGTAATCCCAACGGTTGTAGAAGCTTGCTGACACTGGTGGCAACTGGATTTCGGAATGAGCACAATTCTAGCTATCGAGTAGTAAATGGGGTTGTTTAATTATAGTACTCAAGAGTGTCGGATTATATTGTGTGTAATTCAACTTGTAAGAACCTATTCTTTGTTCAGATATCCAAAGAATAACGAGTGATATAAAAACTGCGAAGTCATGCCAAAATATGTGACGAGTCTAGTCGTATGATAAGTCCCCTGCTAAGTGGCGTAGACACTAGTATGGACCTTCCCGCATGACTGCATCTTGTCTTGGCCAACTCAAGTTGGCTCTCGTTTGATTTCAACTACTCATCTATTCTTTTTGGTTTCAACAATCTTTTCATACATGTCTCTCAGGAGTAGTGGATATGAATGCAAGTAGAGTTTCATCTCGAAGATCTGCCTGTGATCTTTGCCGTTGTCAAAAGCTGCGATGCATTCGCGAACGAATTGACCAGCAAAACTGCGATCAAAGTTTCCTAGCAGATTCTGACTCTCGTACGAGCCCGGTTTTCCGCATACGTACCAACATGAATGACACTGCTTTAGCTTCTACAGATAACATGGGGGAAAAGGCAAGAGTGCGGAGTCGGTGCGAAAGCGGCGATACAATAATACTACGCAGCTCCAAAGGCAGTCACAATTCACTACCCGGCAAGCAGTGGTGGATACAGCTGTTGTTACGGAAACGGCAAGTCTTTCGGGTTCCCTTGGACAAACAGTAATGATGGATATACTCGCATCGTCTCAATCATCATCATCGACTATACCGATGTATCCTACAGACTATTCAGACACAATAAGTGATATGCACTGGGCAGCCGAGGATTCTTCATTTTCCGGCCTCATACTTCCAGATGGAACGGATGAGACCTTTGATTTATCTGGTAACTCGAATACAGGTAGCTCGACTAAGAGTTATCCGTCATAAGCACCGACATATACAGAAGATCTCCCCTCTCGGCCTACACCATCATCGATACTTTCACCCCAAACTGCATCTTCTGCTTCACCATCTGTTGTATAAAATCTTGAATGTAAAAGTCACAAAACGCTAGCTATGATATCCGAAAACAACAGTCTTTGCGAAACTCCCGAAGACCAGGTTGCAGGTAGCATACCTATTGACAAGAACGAAGAGGAAAACATTATTGAGCGGTTTACCAAGACTGATTTGGATCTTGTTTCGCTGTTTTCACCAATTGATCAAGGCGCCCCAACTGCAATCGTAGAGATGTTAGTTCAGCCAATTAATGGAGTGAAGTCTCCAAAAACGAGATTCCATGACCTTTTAAACAGTACAAGAGAATCCTGACAAAGTCTTCGTCTGATGGCAGGTGCGTCTGGTCATCCTTCAGCTAGTCCCCCTCGGTCGTCTCGTAGTCCTTTTCTGAATCTACATCCTGCATCAAACACCAGAAGACCTGGTCCTCAACAGAGTCATAAGAACTATACAGAAAATCTTTCCGGAATCGACGGAAGCACATCATCGCCCGCAGGGAGTCCTCTCTCATCAATAAGTACCGCTCTATCAAAGCCTGATTCGCAAACACACCTGAAGCTTGATTTCGCATCCTCATTTCTCATCCTCACAAGTCATCTGCATTTACTACGACTTATGAGGTTCTATTTTCGCACATACACGACTTTCTGACAGGGATCTCAGACAGTGATGATCCTCCTCTCTGCTCCCTTTTAGGACTTAGCCTTTGTAGGTTTTCACTACGTAAGTCACGCGCTTTAGCGCAAAATGACGTTCATTCTGATTTACCCAAATGCTGACGCTCCAGAATCCGGAAACTTTCAGACGACTATTCTCATCCAGATTATTTCCAGTCTTTTTGAACAGATTGAAAGGCTTCTGGGCCTGCCGTGTGAATATTGGATAGGTCTTTGCGAGATCGAAAAAGATGGCTCTGTGTCGGATGGCTTACTGGGTAGCGAAGAGCTGGTCTGCATTATAAGGTTGATTCTTCGGTCGCAGGAGTCGGGTCAATCTAGAGGTCGAAGAGGAGGATTGAAAGCATTACGTAAGCATCTTGAGAGGATCACCAGGATAAAACAGCTATTGGAAAATATGATAGTAATTTAGAGTCAAGTCAAAAGATTGAACACGCAAACAAAAGACGCGTTGTCACATGAGTCTCGAATGGAAGACAAGCATGGTCTTCCTAGAGCCTATCGTATATAACTACCGTGTCATCCTGATTAACCCACTCATTGTAGGACGCTGTTGCCTTTGAAAACGTCCAAGCAATGCAAGTGATCTTGAGAGAATCCTTACCAGAATGATGACATTTGTTTCGAGGGTGGGTATTGACAAGGTTTAACTATCTGCCGAAATCATCCTTCTCTGGATGCTGTGATAGGATGACTTATCTCATTAAATACAATAGCATCCGCATGAATTCGATATACCGATTATGTATATCGAGGTATTCTCCGATGAGTACCGCGGGTAAATAATCCTGTGTCTCAGTGCGTAGTGAAAATATCAACCCGAAGATTAGATCAGGATGAACGTGGGTCCTTGAGGCTGAAAGAAAGCGCGGATAGCTTCTCTAGAAGAGATCAAAAGAATAGGAAGAGAAGGGAGAAATGTCCACATTCGGTGAGATTAGGGTTGAAGAAAGGAATACCAAATAGGTGGGATAAGCGCCGGTGCGGGGTGTGGGTCAGTTGCATGGGTGGGCTGGATGGCTCTGTGCGTATGGTTGGAATCGAGAAAAACTTGTGAGAGAGATCGTTTATCAGGGTGCCTTGAGTGGGTTTATCTCTATGTTATGTCTTGTGTGGATTGTCTGTGGAGAGAGATATAGGCAGCGTGGATATAAAATGTCTTTGTCGCTGAGGTTTGGACAAGAGGAAGACACGGTTTGCATTGCGATGGATAGTCGCCTTGGGGTATAATTACCAGATAAATATGTTAGATATGTGAGGGCTTATCTGTGAGCTAGAGGAAGTGGTTTGGTGCGAATGTTCTTTCACTCTCGAATTGTTCTTAGCGTTTTCTGGAAGTGCTAGTTGTGAGATTAGCGAGATAGATATTGAGGAGAGGTCTGATCTGCATTGACCTAAGGCTTGGTTCGACTTGTAGTTCGTAGATATACTTGATAAATCACTACTGGGTTATTTGCTCTAGATAGAAAGTTTCCAGATTCCAAATCACTGCATTGCTTATTTTGCAAAGTCAAAAGAAAGAGGAGCAGATGGTCGGCACTCGCTACTATTTCCATTCCAAAACTCATCTCAGACTTGCACTCAACTGTTGAGAATTTCACAAGACACGACAAATGCAATAGGAGAATCAAACATCATAAAGCACTAGAAGCACTCTCACTCGCACTTGCAGTATAACCTAACTAAACAACATCCATCCTTTGCACGACTCTAGCCTCGGCATCACCAACCTAGATACACGATTCTCGATCCCCATCTTCACCATCCAAAATCCAGAATCCTAAACTCCTACCAAGATACAAGCGAAAGGAAGAGATCGAAGCATGGATATTTTACGAGTAGACAGATGTGATTCGATGAAAATGTGGGGAATCACCGAAGCGAAAGGATCGCGAGGATGGATGTCGAGATTGCGATATTGGGATTTGTGGATCCAGTATCGAACCCGGGATATGGGTTAGATATGGAAGCGGGGTGGTATGAGAGTTGGTTGGTTGGAGGAGTTGATGATGGTGTGTCGTGTACATGGGATTAGGGATGAGGCTTGAACATTTCAATGAGATGTGAGGAAGTCTCCGTTCTAGATACGTGAATAGTATGTATCTAGATGAAGTTTGAACTTCCAGGATAATTTGAGCATAGACTTGGATGTGATATCATTCCTTGGAACACAAAAAGATGTTACCGTCCAGTGTCATTCATTAAACATCCTCAGCGTGAACTTCAATCGAAGTAAAACATACGTACGGTAGCCAAAAGATAAGCCCCACTTCTGAGCACTACTCGGCATCCTCAAAATCTGGTTCTAGACGTTTATATCTAATAATCAAGCTTATTGAACCAAGGTTTGGTAGCGCGGCCGTGGGTCGAGGATTAGGTGTGGGGTTGAGGCTATTGAGAAGGAATGTAAGGTTACGCACCTAGGAACTATCAGACAATTGCCAACTACAACAAACATGTCTGTCTCAAAATGTTTGATATTCATGAATATTGGGATCATGCAGAACCTCTTGGTTAAATGAGATAAATCAGGTGCTTGGCCCTACTAGGCAATTAATTTCTGGCAAAGTGCAAACAATACGCAGTAATAGGAAACAAAAAATGAAGACAAATAGTGTTTATATTTAATCTTTTTATGAAGACTCGATAGCCTTCTGGTGGTATCAATCTGTATCTAATAACACAGTAGTCCACCAAACCTGTCCACTTCCACCATGCCAATCCCAAACCTTTCCGATTACTCCAATCCCAACAACATGATAAGATAAATACGTAAAGTCATATTCATGTCGCAAAACCCAACCAACAGATGAGATCCACCCCAACTTTGAAATGATTGTGTGAAACACTGGTAGTTAAGTGCATTTCGAAAAACTCCCCTCTCAAACGCCAGAAGCTCATAAATTCCCTCCTCATGACTGAAAACCCCAATTACGCCTGGTATCATTTTCCAAAGATAGCTTGAGAAATTTGACCCCCATAGTACCGACCCTTATTTCTCCGATAGATTATAGAAACGACTCGAAATTAAATTCACAGGATAGAGACAAGTCACTAGAGCCCAGTTGGTTGATTAATAATAGCATCAATGCCCATATCCATAGAAGGTAAACGTGAGTGAAATGATGCTCGGTTATCTTGGTGGTATGGACTTCGGTCAGTTTGCGGGTAGCCATCGTTACGGTCCGTCTGTGGATATCCATCCGGTCGGCCATCCGAGAGAACTTGTGGTGCATATGAGTAATGTTGTTGATTAAGCGGGTCATTAGTAGAAGCTTCTGAGCCATTATCACGATCATAATCGCCGTCGAGATTGATGCTGATTCCGCTGTCTTCATGCACTTCATAATCATTGTGGTCCGAGTATGCTGCATTTCTAGTTTGCCCTCCTGCTTCCATCATACGTTCGCGGCGCGCATAAGCTCTGGCGGATGTTTGCATATTTTTGAGACCAGTTGACATACACTTCTTTATGTTAGTATAAATCTTGGTCATATTCGTTCCGATAATACATACCTTTTGCTCCACAACGTTCCATTTTTCCCCAGTAACGGCAGCCAGTCCGGACCAGATTTCTTTACGCATATCCATGTAATGCTTCGCAAGTGTCTCAGATTTGACATTGTCCCAATCATCACTAGACTTTCGTTCCATCAAACGTTCATGACGCTTTCGACAGGCGTTAGCCGATTTGTTTGGAAAGTAAGTTGCCTGGATAGGTTGCCAATTCAATCCTTGCTTCCGTGCTGCTATCAAAGTCCGATCATCAATAGGTGTCCACGCTCCAGATGAAGGTCGAATGGAGGGTGGCATTGGAGTACTCTGGACATAATGTTGAGTTGGAAGTGGTAAAGGAGGTTGTTGTACGGGACCTCCTGTTGCATAGCTGGACATATTCTGATAGCTATGTTGCAGTGGTTCATAGTATGGTGTGGCCATGGGTCGAGAGTTGATGGGTGGATATACAAGGTTGTTGGAGGTGAGAGGTGGTGATCGATAGTAATCCATAGCTTTGTATGAACTCTGTTCCTTTGGCATTCTAGAAATACGGGTTTATCAAAGGTCGGTACTACTTAGTAGTAAACAGGGTTTGAAACAATTGACGAGTCAATTAAGTATTAGATGTAAAAGAAACTTGCAGACCAGCCGGCAGGAAAGGTAGGAAATACTTGACACGAAAACGAATGGAGTCAGATGTTGAGAAGTGAAATCTAAAGCGAGTTAACAATAGGAAATTCGTCGAAGTCACAAGATGATGTTGATGCTGAATGAGGACGAAAGGTCTTAGCCAGTGTACCGGCGACCGACCTTTATAATACAGAATTGACCAGCTCGATTATCTGTTGGAAGAAATAACGCTGGGGGCCATTTGGGTGGTGTCTATAGCCTCATTAACGCTGAACGTCCAAAAATGAGACCTCAACTAAATGATGAAACAAGATGGGTCCGATTTTAGATATCGTTTTGATAAATCCGACCCCGACTTCCTGGGCCTTCAAACGTTGGCAAATGCACGAAATTTCGTTACCAGGATCAACTACAGTAGCCGCGGATAGACTATTATGTCTCCAAAACTTGAGGGGCTACAAACAAGAGATGATTGTATTGGTCAACAGTAGAATACCGGTCTCTTCTAAGGACATTGGGCGGTAGTCTCATCTCGAATTCAGGAGACATATCATATCTGATGGGCGCGTAAATTATGTGGGCGTCAACAAGTAAGCTACGGATGAGGCGTTCGCGTACCGAAAATAGAATCAAACGGGAGAGATCTGTACAGGGGGGATGACAGAAAAGGGTCAGTGCAGGGTATATTAAATTTACAAGGGCTGTGTATGAGATTGTTTAAGAATGCCTTTAAAGATAGTTAGATCTTGATAGATTAGATGACAATGAAACATATCATAATGATCCTGTTTCGTAATGAATTGAAGATGTTGAAAATGGTAGGTAAAGACGAAAGGAAGACATGTTTGAAAGACTCTGAATAAGAAAAAAGAAGAGAGTCGTTTGTTTAATGCGCGCGTATAAAGTGATATGTCTAGACTACCTAGGTAGGTAGAGAGATATTGTCTATCGTCTACCGAGGTAGTAAATCCTGCGTAAAACGGTATCACGAGAATGCCGTAATAGAATTAGTTGAATTTTTAGACATCACGTGAGAGAAAGGTCTAATTGGTGATGGTATTTGGGCCTCTGTTGGTTGGAGCTTCTTCCTCTCCTTCCTCTTCTTCCTCTCCTTCCTCTCCCTTTCCCTCTTCCTTTCTACTCCAAATCAGGAAGAACATTGCCATTTGATTCCTTGTTTGATTCGGAAAACGATTGGATGACTAATTTAAGAAATGCAAAATACTTCGGACGAATCTCTTTCACTTACTAGGATCTCTGCTTCCAAGACAGCACTGACACTGATCTACACGATATGCATATGCACAAGTGCACAGATGGGAAAGCAACTCATCCCATCTCTACCCGCTCCTTCTCGGCTTCTATCATCCAAACATTTATTCTTTATACCCTGTCCATAATTTACTCCCCTTGTAACATGCCTCCACCCTGATTTCTCTACTCGGGAATCTACCAAAGTACCTGGGTATCCCGAGGTCCTCACAGATGCCCGAGATCATCTAGGTTTATCTAATCTCGATATCTTCATCCCAGGTCTGATCAAAAGGGATTCTGCAAGGGCGCCTAATACCGAGAAGCGGTATGCAGTTTGACAGGAACTGTTGCTACGCTTCAACATACAACAAACAATTCGACCGGAAAAAGGCCATTGAAGACCTCAATCCATTAGGCAGTGTTTATCTTCAAAGCAACGTAAAGATTCAACATTCCTCCCCATAGCCATGGCCAAGGCCATGACCACAGAAAAATCTTCACGAGGTCGTACATCCAACAATCAGTGGAGTGTCGACCTACTATCTTCCAACACAACAACAGATAAAGAAATCTCAACAACCGCAACACCCCGGTGAGAGCAATGAAGAGATTTCCTCACAATTTTCTTTCCCGTATGCAATTGATAGTCGTCTGTGCCAACAGCCGCTCTACCTGGGGTTTCCTCTTATCTCATCCTATCGGTGAATATCCAACGCTTGTGCCAATTCTTTACATGTGCTTCGACTCACACAGACCAGCATAATATCCTCACGCCGACAAGCGTCCCTTGAACTTGTGGGATATACTCGGGAAGAGTCCGGTAATGGTGTCATCACGCGCGGCAGTACAATTTCAACGTTCCGGTATCTATAAGTATAAAGTCAAAGAATGTGATTGAAACATTTCAATGGACCAGAGTACTCCATTGTCTTTTTGCACTGTTGCAAGCGGCGGCTATCTGTATGAGAGAACTATTTTCTTCAACCAAGTATTCATAACATACATTTGTTTCATCTGAAAATGGTCGATTACGAATGATTCACCAACAGTTGGATGATTAGCATACAAATAATAGCTTGGACAGGTTTGTTTTTATCTCTTCCAGAATAGTTTTCTTGGGTGACCAATCGCGGAGTTTCTCATCTGTTTTAGTTTAGACGCTGCTCTCCCGTGTTTCAATTGTCATTCCATTTTGGGGGCGAATATTCTCTATAGTAAAATGCAACGAGATGGCATAGTATGCTTACATTGCTCAAAGTTGTTCGGAGAGGCTTCTTCTTCCTCTCTTTTCTTTGCATAGGTAGTTATCATGCACTTCGCAATCGCAGATGCATGATACTTCAAACAACCCCTACATCTCTACCACTTTTATCTACTTTATATTATGCCTGGCGAATCTCTGAGAAGATTCAATGGCCAGCAAATGCGATGAGTAATCCGGCTAAAATCTCTTGGGATCCTTGCCATCATCCTTCCGAGACTTTCCACGGTACGTGCCCCCTCAATAAAATTCAATTGATCCTCAAGCGTGCCGTACGGTTCTTAGTCTAACTACTAGGAACGAACATCTGGTCTTTGCGCAGTTCGGTGTTGGGGTATGCAGCTGCTTATATATACTGCGGAACTGTGCCCCAGTTAAATTCCTTGTTAAAACGAGATTGACAATTAGTTGCATGAAAATGATGGACATTCTCCTGTTATGCAGTACCTGCATGCTCTCTGGATATTAACCGTCAAGCCATTGGGAGAATTGCTAATTAGAAAGGCACTATAGGGTCAGACCATGCTTATCCTTACAATTTTGGGGCTTATGTAATTGTCATGTTTTCGATATCTTTTTTGTCGTGTTGAAGGATCACATAATATTACTTTCTACGAATAACTTTCAAGGAATTTTATCCCTGAGACTTCTCAATTTTGACCTCATCCTATCTGACTAGCCTTCGGCACTTTAAGCCTTGGATCTAAAGGATCCACTCATCTTCAACGGGATCGGAAAGGGCCCCCGAATGGCCTACAGACCTGATGACATGCACCGGTATGTATAACGCTAAAGCACGATGGGATTTGCTACCCTAACACCAAATAACTCCAACACATCTGTCTATGTCCATGTGTCGAAGGATCTATATGTAACTTTGATACGACAAGGTTAGATGAAAGGGAGCACATTACAATCCACACGTTGACTTTTAAAGAATTTCCCGACTTCATGGGATGAATTACAAAAATATCCAAGTTAAGTAATTCGGATCCTCATTGCGAAGGAGACTTCACGTTGGTTTACCTCTCGGGCCACTAATCAAATATCTTAGTCTTATCCCTGATAAAGTTAGAGAGGTATTTGACGATTCCCAGCTTGCAAGCTTGTGATATGAACAAATGATGCGCCGCAACATTATGTTCTATTTTGCCAGAACGATTCAGATCATTCACGTTGACTTGGGGTTGGCATTGATTCTTTTCATTGCACCCAAAAGTGAGTTGTGCTAATTTGTTGACCAGAATTCTACAGGCAAGCATCCTTTCCAGAATATCATTTTAATGGCACTTATGGCATCACGAAAGTTCGAGCGCTAATTGATGAACATACAAACACAATAAGTCCTCTTAGCATAGGTGTTGAGAGGATACGGCCACGAGTTTACGTAGGCCTCCATATCATCTCTGCAGATTCATGCTATAGTTCGCATCAGCTAGGGTTGAACGAAGACAAATCTTCTGAGGGGTCCACACTCTCACGAATTAAAATAACACACATAATATCATGGCTATGATGAGTTTTTTTTGTAGTGACCGAAACAAGGTAAAGATAAGTTATTGTTACCATCATTACAATAAGTGGAGTGTTTCTTTTTTCACTACATTAGTGTTCCTTGACGTTCTTCTCTGAATTTTTTCAAAGACCTATTTGATATCTTCATAATCAATTCTCTTAAATGGCAATCTGATGTCGACAATGCCCGAAAATGCCCCCACAAGTTTCCATCCTTCGACCACTTGCGACCTTGATTCTCCGCGGCTAGCGTCAAGGTCGGCGCATGTCGCTACTCGTATGAACTTTCCCTTGATCACACCTTTCGAACACACCGCCGTGTACCTGCATCCGACTAAACATCGTGGGTGGGATCTCAACCATGCTTCTTGTTACCGATTCGAAATCCACGCATTGACGACGAAAAAGAGATGCATAGTCTACATGACCGCAGCTAAAAATGAAAATGATACTTCGATACTTTGAAACACTCAAGCTTGGAAGAAGCCTTATGTTTAACTCAGATCGCGTCAGAGTCTAAGCAAAACTTGATGATACCTAGGATAGCCTTCCACGACACGATGGCATAATTACCTTTGTCGTGTGTTTGTTTTGTTCTAATACTTGAATGCAAATCCGAGAAAAAAAGCCTTTGGTCGCCCCTGATCAAGGCTTTCTATGAATGGCAACTCATTGGAACTAGGAGAACTCGTTTCCCGACTCCTATATTCATCGGCGCCTAGGGTTTCGATCCAGGAAAAGGATTTTCCATGCAAGGTAAGAACATTGGTTACCAAAGACAATGTTGTGCTGCCATCGTCTTGGCTTTCGAACCTAGACCGATCGCTGAAATTTTCCTAATTTAAGAATCACCAGGCCAGTTGATCTGACCAATAATGTTAATGGCATTGCTGCGCTGTGGTTGGAACCTTTGAAGAAGCAGACAAGACTGACTTTGATACCTAACATAAATAGCCCGCAAGGTGGTTGATTTGCCTTGCGAAATTGAATGTCATGATAGCAACAGACTAGATGATTGCGGTTTCAACCCTTTTGGCTACTGGGCGGCCAAGAACTGTCAGATCGCTGTTGCGAAGGTCTGACATCTCGGTTGCTATTTTTGTCGCCATGAATCAGAAAGGCACAACTTTACATCAGGAACGAATCACTCAACGGTCGTCACATTGGATGTGACAATGAGGATTCGAAATGGAATTAGTTGAGCCATAAGATAGTCAACAATTTCACATGCTTGAAGTGCATGCGATGAGGATGGCTTGATTCAGTGATGGGCATGAAGTATTGCAGAAGCCTTGTTTTCCTCCCATACAAGTCAATCCCAGTGGATATAGATGGATGGGTCGTCATCTATGTGATATATTATGCTCCCAAGGCATCTCTGGAGGAGTAGAGATTTACCCAAGTCACTCCAGCTGGTATTTTTAGAACAGCAGAATGCCTAAAGGATGTACCATCAAGGTCTTCACTGAGGTCTACGGTGGCCCCCGATCAATCATGAGACTATACCCCTAGAGTTAAGTCTCATCCGAGCGAAGAATCTCTCCTCCCATGATTCGATACCTACTTTACACTCACTTCACCTCGGCACGATTTCAAGTCGTCGAACCCGACTGTCAAAGAAGTTGGTAGATACGTACTTCAGGAACGTACCGAATCTCGAGGCACCCACCTTCACAATTTCAATCATATCATCTTCATCCAGCGTTTTCATGACATTATCATGATCCCATTGCCAAATATCACGATAATGGTGTTGCGAGGCGTGATAAGAGAATCTACGCGCCTCCTCGGCACATAAGTCTCCACTTCTTGTCGGTTTGTACCGATGAATTCCGCCTGTAGGTTGACTGGGAAACTAGGAGGGTGCCGGACACAGAGAGCTAGTTTTGTTAGTGAATTTCAGGACATGTTAAAGAATCTTGATATGATGATAGCGTGAGAGGGGAACAGTTGGGACATTTACAATGATCGATGGTTGTCAAGCTCGTGATGAATTGTTACTTTTTCGTCATCATGATCGTAATTTAATAAAAGTCGTTCGCAGAGAACAGAAGAAATTTATTACGACTGTATGTGTGGTTTATTTTCCATGGAATAGATTTAACTTTTTTCAGTGTGATACTGTATACAAATCGAATCCACATTAATAATTTATTGATATTGATTGATTGGTCTCGGGAAGGAATAGGCATTCCATTCCATTCAATGTCTCAATGTCTCAATCGGATACCACGAGGAATTTCCGATCGTTTAGATCTGGTATTTTTTTCCTAATCATTATTACAGAATCTGTCATACGTCTTGGGTAAACTCTCTTATCACGAGTATCTTGACTATTTTCCCGTGCACTTGGCATGAGCCTCAAAGGAGACTGGAATCCGAGAAGGAGGTATAGAATTGAGAGTATAGCACAACTAACGAATCAGAATTGGAACCAAAAAGCCAATCTCTCTCCCACTCCCAACGTTCGTAACTGGTAGAAATACAAAATCTCCAGGATAGAAACATGGTTCGGAATCGGATGTTTCAACGGCGTCGGTGACGTCTAGTACTGAAAAGGAAGGTAGAAGACATACTCGTATATTGGGTTAATAACTGAGATTGCCCAGGTGAGTTCTTCAAGTGGAGGTGTGTGGATGATGACATGGGGGGGTGTGGTTGAGCTTATCTTTTGCGGCGCTATTTAGATGGGATAAACGGGGACCTGCGGACCTCACCGAGGATTATCCTGCGAGCGGTATCAAGATTGTTGATTGTTTATAATGCTTCGAATTGATCCAAGAAATTCGCCAAGATGGTGAGAGGATAGGATGGGTTTATCGATTGATTGATTTGGATTACCTAGATGATTGAGAATCGAAGTAAGGGAGCCGAGAATATCAATTAGTTGCTACTGTCGTTTGTTTACATCACATACTGCACAGTGACTTCAATGAGACTTCAATATTTGAGTTGTAAAAATTTCTTCTTCTTCACGTCTTTTATTCTATAAGAGGAAATGATATGTTAGTTCCCGTATCGATGGATCTAGGAACAAGAAATATGCTAGGAGGCTAGTAAGCCGAAGTTTAGCTGGTTAATTAGATGCAGTAATGAGTAACGTCCACTTTTGTCATTGACTTGGCGGGAATTCCTTATCGATAGTTATTCGATAGATACCGTGACAATGAGATTGACAAGATGAAAATGACAATATAAAAATGACAATAATTTCTGCCTGTTTGTATTGGCTATTCGTACAACAACAATCACCCCCCGGATTTATCAAGCGGTCTGGTATCACGCCAAGACTTCAACTGGCGAACTCCTACGGAGAATTTCCCGTACTTGTAACGAGGAGAATAGATACTGAAGACGTTCGTGTTGAAATGGATGATGACGGTGAGATTCCCAAGAAAATCCCAAGGCTTATTTGCATACATTATGGTTACATACAGCCTACAGGATGTACTCCGTAGGTATTAGCGGCGGGCTTGCATGCATTGCGATAAGGCTTGAATTCTGTATTCTTTCTATGATGGATCCTGGTGACGATATCGGAGTTGGATTGATTTATGGAAAGAGGATTGGGATAGCAAGACAGATTTAGTTGATTTATTATGATTATTTGCTATCTTTTCGATATCGTTTAGGTGTGCTGTGTGATATTTTGGTACGCCATATCCATACCAATATCCATATCTATCCAAACGAGCTAGACCAATCCAGATCTCCTCTCTAGTATCTGCAAGGAAGATCAAAGATCAGCTCCCCCGTCAAATCGGTCAAGTATTCTCAACGGAATGAGAAGGTTTATTGGATAAAGCCTCAAAACCAGGAACAGATGCGTGAATATCCGAAGCGTGTGATTAACATGTTTTCGAGGTGATTTGTGGAGATATGGGTCATGTACAATGCACTCTTTGCTTTGATTGACAATTCACTGCAGGTACCACGGAATATATTAAGCTTCCAGAACCTCGAGTCCAATTAAACCTTTTCTTATTTCTTTCTCTACCTTTTCTACAGCTTCCCTCCCGCTCTCCCTTCCTCCTCTCGAGTAATAGATAGATCATCGAGTCTCCTTTATCCCAAGATCTTCTCTTGTGCTTCTGTCTCCTACTCATCCCCCGCTACTTTCCGCAGAACCTCCACAAGTCCCCCGATAGATCATACCATACCCCCTCAACATCATGCGTACTTCTGCTCTTCTTAGCCTTTGGGCTGGTGTAGGATCTGTGGCTACTGCTGCAACCACTAAACCATATGGACTTCCAAAAACCAACTTAGACAAGAAGGATATCCATTTCAGTGTTCAGGCTGATGGTTTGGATGTTAAGTTGGAAATCACCAATTCGACATCTAGTGTGGTCAAACCTAAGGTTTTCATCATTTCTATGGTATGTATCCCTTTACGTCATCTTGACAGGCCTCAATTCCACAATTTTCGCATACCCCTCGTCCAAAAAGATACGACAATTGTTCAATTTGGACATATCATCTGACTTGTTTTTAGTTCACCCCCGAAGCAGACATCTGGTACGAAAACTCCTTCGCCCCAGGCTCAATCGGAAATCTCCTCGCGAGAAACATTACTGTGCCCGGATTCTCCCCTATCTTCCCACAAGCCCATTGTCTTGCCGATGGATCCGTGTGTCAACTCACCACTGGTGAATCCGAAATCAACGCAGCTTCAACCATCACCGCTTTGACACTCTCCCCCGCTTTCGATCTCAGCTCGACTTATTTCCTCGTTGGTGGAATTGCTGGTATCAACCCAAAGCACGGTAGCATTGGTGATGTCGCATTCTCAAAGTACACCATTCAAGTTGCTCTTCAATATGAATTTGACGCAAGAGAAAAGCCCGATAACTTCACCACCGGATACTTCCCCCAAGGTTCATATGCCCCCGATCAATACCCCGCCAACATCTACGGAACCGAAGTATTCGAAGTCAACGAACCACTTCGTGATTTGGCCGTCGGATTCGCGAAAAAGGCATCTTTGAACGATTCATCCGAATCCATCGCCTACCGTGCATTGTACGCAACAGACAACGCCACAGCAGCTGTCAACAAATATCAAGCAGCAACCCACGCTCCTACTGTCATCACGTGTGATACTGCAACTTCCGATGTATACTACTCTGGTACTCTCCTCGGAGAAGCATTCGAAAACACCACCACATTGCTCACCAACGGTTCAGGAGTTTGCTGCATGACGGCCCAAGAAGATAACGCCACACTTTCTGCTCTTTTGCGTGCTGCTCTCTTCAAGATCGTCGATTTTTCCCGTATTATCATTATGCGCACAGCCTCTGATTTCGATCGTCCATACCCCGGTGCCTCTGTCGAGTTCAACCTCTTGTACTCCAACCAAGGTGCTTTCGAACCAGCTGTTGAGAACATCTATCTCGCTGGTACTGAAGTTATCAAGGGAATTATCGATGGCTGGAACTCAACTTTCGCTGCAGGTGTGACTCCTACCAACTATATCGGAGATATCTTCGGTAGTTTGGGAGGTGAGCCTGATTTCGGACCAGGAAGTGAGTTCGGTGGTGAGGAAGTCGATCCTAACAATGAGGTTATCTATGTTAAGAGAGATGGACAGAAGAAGGCCAAGTCCAGGAGAGAGATGAAGGGAAAGAAGGGATTGATGAGACGTCATTAGGAGATAATAGTAATGATGGGAGTTGTTTCAGTGTCGGTTTGGCGCTGAGAGCGTGTTTCCTCAAGCGTGCAGGATAGAATGCTTTCGTCTTTTCTTCGCGTCTGTATCTTTATCCAAAAGTTTTGGTCGGTGTCTTTCGTTTTCCTAGGTGGAAATGTTGGGATTCGCGCGGATGTTAGTTGAAGTGATCCGTTGATCTCTTACGACAACTTTGGTGCAATGGATTTTGACGTTTGAAATCTCGATGAGCTTTGGATTGTTAGTCGATTCAAAGAGATCTGAAGGAGATCTCATGCGAAGAGTATTGCGGGTTTTGACGCGTTTGAGATAGCTCGACGATGGTTGTAGATAATGGGTGGTAGAGATTCCGTCAGGTGGCTCGGAAAAGTGCGATGGGTTATGAGTACATAAATGCAGATGAGCTATGATATATGGGAGGATGATATTTATATCAACATTCAAATTTGTGGTTACAATTTAGATCCTATAGTATGGATGGATAATTATGGAAGTATATAGGAGAGATGAAATATATGAATATACGATTTACATTCTACAACTTTGCTTTTCGTTTTTCTTTCGTTTTTTTTCTGTCGTTTGATAATTATGATCCGTGTGAGAGACAGACTAAACTGCGTCGGCGATGATTCTTGCTGGCCTGTGAAAAGCATTGAATATAGTTCTGGTCGCAGAATTTGACTTCAGGAATACTTTGACAGTGAAGATTATTTCGTACGAACAAGTCAATTGTATGGAATGATCAGTCTGAATGGAAATATTTGCAAAGTCAGTCACAAGTATGACTTGAACTATTCAAAGAGCTGGGCAGAATTCATTCTCAATAATTTCGGTATGATCATTGTTCGAGTATGTGGTACAGATACATATGTCTGTGGAATTGATATGAATCGAATATATGACTAGGCTTGTATTGATATGACGAAGACAGTCATGAGTGTGACTGGATTTTGAATTCAAAATCATACATGGCAGATTGCTCTGCGTATTCATGGACGACAAAAGTGTGTAGAAAATTTGTATTCATTCTGAAGACGCAACCCCCGTAGCTAGACGGAGGATGCAACAACTAAACCTTTCTACAAAGTCCAACGCAAACCAAAAAGAAAAGGAAACATCAAGATGGCGAACCGTCTCTCTTCAGTCTCCCTTCAATATTTCCTCATTATCCACGCCCTTCGCTTATATTCTGAAGAATTATAGCAGCTTCAAATGCATCTCTTTCATCTGCGGCTGCCTCTCTCGCCGTTGCAGTTTTCTGTGAATTATAACACTCTGGACACACACAGTTGTAATTTTTTATCCTCTCCACTGAATTTAGTGGTGGATTATGTGGCCATTTGTTACACTTGACAAAAACATTCTCCACAAACACAGGAGCACCACGTTTTCTGTCACAATAACAGAGTTTAGATCTCGCTTCAATGTGGCACATGTTGGACAGGGAGAGTCGATGAGTTTCGAGGATGGTACTGACAGTTTTTGTTAGTATATAGTTGAAGTTCGATAGTCAAAGATATGGAATCTCACCGGGGGTTTGATATGGATGGGAATAGGAATCTTAAGGACTTGTTAAGGACAAAGTGCCGATATGGCTATGAGAAGTGAAACAGAAGGATTTTGTACCGATAGAAGGTGTCAATGATATCAGGAGGAGAGAGTTGTTTGTAGACACGATTTAGCAGGGTATTAAATAATGGTAATCTTTGATGAAACTTCTTGTCGTTTTGATTCTTGAAATTTGAGGAAGTGGGTATGAGGCTTCAAAGCTATCTTGTAGGTTGAAGAATAAAATGTCTACACAGAAAGGGGACTCGAAGCTTTTTGTGCGCATTTTGCTATGTCCATCAGTTATTCCATTGCCGTCGTTTTCAAGGAGTCATGTTTATTTCCTTACGAAGACCCAATATATTCCGGAAAGAATCATTGCTGTACTCAGATGTCATATCCACCCCCTTACTCGTTCTCGGCCAAAAGTGTCGTATGTCGCATGAATTAAATGCCGGCCATGACTATTTTGACTGACAATGAGTATTATGAACAATCAACTCGATTTGACTCGGAGTCTCTCTAAACAGGAAGCCTCGTAGACTTTTGACTTGAGACTTATGATTCATCATCCACGATTGGGCACACTCTAAAACTAAGTTAGGTAGAGCTAGAAAATTCATCTCTGAAGGAAATAATATCAACATGATCAGAGCCAATATGAGCATCAATAGTTATTGGGCGTCTTTATACTTTGCAACGGGCTGAGGAGAGGAATTCTATAACTTTTACAAAAGTCAAACGCAAATTCATATGTAATGGGTTCCCACTTGTTCCAAATTGTCAACGCTCTACCTAGGCGGGTGACGGAACAAGGAACCCCTTTATAATCCCATGCAAACCAAAGAAACCAACCACACAATTCGTACCCATCTCACCACTAATCCGCTCATGACATTTTATCCTTTACCAGACTATAAAATCCATGCAGCTCTTGTCTGGGTTTCAGCTTCAGCTTCCGCAGTCTCCTCTTCTGATCCGGGCTCATTCCCTAGCACCCTTTACATTTCCAGTAGTTGTGAATGAAGTCATCTTCTTTCTTCTTACAAATTTATCCGTCACATACTTCTTTGCAAAGAAATTTTGTCTTCTCGAAGATAGCATAATTGCCGTTGTTTTCGTTACACCAGCAATATCCTCGCTTTTTATATGGACAGCACATTTTGAATTGATGTTTTGAGGAATAATCAAATTGAGATAGTGATCTATAGGGGTCATTAGCTGAAAGGGGGTCAATATTCTGGAAAATCTGCTGTGAAGTCTTACTGTAACTTAAATGTGGGCAGATGTAGATATCTTTCGAATTCAATGAATGGTGATGATGTCAACGACGATGACGGTCGAGTCAACTTGCAGGTCTGTAAGAATAACAGAGACTTGGAATTCTTAGAACTGTGGAGGCAGCGAGTAATAGAAGGGAATACTATGATACTGATAGAACATATTTTTATTTCTCAAACTCTTGAACATTTGAAAATTTGAATTGGTGGATAGTGTTGAAGATCAAAGTTTGAATGTTTTCACAAGAGGGAACTGAAATGCTTTTGTGTTGAGAATGCTAGTCTCACACAATCATTCCATTGCAAGGATTCTCAAAGAGTCATGCTTATTCCTCTACAAAAAGAATCATTACTCTGCTAGATGCAATATTGATCCCCTGCAGCAATTTCGCTAAGCAATAATATGCAGCACAATCTGAAGGACTGGCATGACTGGCTAAGCTTCCAGTGAGTATTATGGCTTTACTGACTCAATTCGAGTGAGAATCTTTCTGACGCGGAAAGTCTTCTGTAAGTTCTCGGACTGAGACTTGTCATTGAACATTCATAACATGGCATGCTCTCATATTAGATTAGGTGGACGTGAAAAGGATATCTCCGCACTTACAATGTATAGAATATTAATGTGAACGGAACACTCTTGAGTATGACAAGGTACTGACGTCAATTTTGATAAACACTGCATTGCATTACACATGGAAGGAACCGAATAAAGTGCATAAGAGGTGTATATTCATGGACTCGACGCTGCACGCGGAGGTCAAATTTCTACACCTTTAATAAAAGTCCAACGCAAATAGCTGAATAGCAACTAGACCCACCACTGATACATGCTCATAACTGACGCTTCCCCTGAAACATCATATGTCTGCTAGTAGTCGAATTTCCTAATAGCTTGATGCGATCTCCGCGAAGAATGCCGCACTGGCGGCTTATCTCTCTTCCCACCTCACTCGCTCATCTCTCCTCGCTCTTCTCAGAACTTTCGCATTTTCCTGATTTCTATCAATCCTGTCACTCCCCCATCTCTCTCTTTCTCTCTCTCTTTCTCTCTCTTCTTCTTCTCTCTCTCTCTCTCTCTCTCTCTTTCTCTTTCCTCCTCCCTTACTTTTTCCTCCTTCTCTCAATTCTCTCCGTCTCTCTTTATTCGCTTGTGACACTCTTCTCGCCATATCTAGTGCCTCTCTATCTCCTGCCTCCCTCTCAATCTCCTTCTTCCTCCTCGCTTCTCCCTCTTTCGCCCTTGACTCTTCACCATGACAGTATCTGCAAATCTTATAATGTATTTTGTCCTCATTAAAGGGTTGATTTACTCCCACTCTGCACTTTATTTCATGCTTGTAGAATTCGACATTTTTGCCGCCGTTGCCGTCACAAAAGCATTGTCCGATATACAGATGCAGTCTGCACGTTTTGCATGGAGGGGCAGGAGAGCTCATGCTTGAAATATTATGTAGGTGCGATTAATCGGTCTGTACTGGATGCGTTTTAGCAGTGCAGTATTTGAAAATTACTTTCTTAAGTGGATATCCCGAGAACTTGTTGACGATTTGGTAATGATGTGATAATGCCAGCGACAATGATGTTGAAAAGTGTACTCGCCAGTCCGTAGTAAGCACAGAAAGTGTAGGGGTTTTCAAGAACGTAGAGACCAGAAAGAGTTCGTGGATAAGAAGTAGTAAGATAGTCGAGAGGAATAGTATGATGTTGATGGAATGTATGATTATTTCCCGAAAGCTCGAAAGTTTGAGAATTTGAAGATATGCGAATCAGTGGATGGAATTGGATATTAAAGATTAGATGCTTCAATAAGAGGAAATGGAACGCTTTTATGTTGAGGAAGCTAGGCTCACACAGTTATTAAGATTTATGAGGAGAGAGTCACTATAATTCTGTCATTTTGGAGTCACTCAAGCATCTTCAAAAAGACTCATTCCAATTTATTCAAAAAAGACTCAACTCTGTGTCTTCAAAGCCAGTGACTTTCCTCTCTGTGGACCAAATACACAGATGAAGTGGAAGTAATATGAGAGATCGACATCTACTCACATACACACTGCAATATATAGATAGCACCACAAAACCCTTAATAAAAATGTATAAAATATTTGCATTCTTTACTCGAGGCTCCAGACTAACTGGGTGGAGGATAAAATTTCGATACTTTTTTTTTACGAAAGTCTAATGCATAAATTCAACCCAACTGTACAAAACGAGACGTTAAAAGAGCTCGCCACAACTTCAGTTTCATGGGCTTGTAGCTTCTCTAATACCAGATACTAATCAACGTTTGTGTCCTCGATGGACTCTTCGATGGCCTTGGCGATGGGCTTCTTGATAGCTTCCTTGATTGCCTCCTTGATAGCTTCTTTGATATCCTTCCTGGTATCCTCCTTGATGATCTGCTTGACTGTTTGCTTGATATCCTCCTTCGTATCCTCCTTGATATCCTCCTTCGTATCCCTGATAACCTCCCTGCGCCACTACTTGCGCTTCTCTCTCTTCCACCACTCTCTGCACCTCCACTCTTTCCGCCTGTCTATCAATCTCCATCCTTTCCCTTTCCCTCGCTTCCGTTTCCAATCTATCCGCCTCAACCTCTAAATACGGGCACTTATCACATCTACTTTTAACAACCTTGATCTCCGGAAAAAGTAGCTCAAACTCATCATGCGAGCCTCCATTCAATACATTCGGACACTTCTCCAGATATTCGCGCAGGGTGACTCTCTTGCCATTGTTGCCGTTGCACCAGCATGGTCCTTTGACAAGTACTGTCTTGCACATCGTGTGATGACGGGGATGGATGCTGATGGGAGATATTGATGCTTTGAGACAGGTATGTTGGTGTGACTACTTGGCTCATTCGGGTACACAATTGTACGACGAATAGCGTCGTGGGGAGCTTATGGTAAGATCAGATTAGATAGGTATCTTGTGACACTGGTCAATGTAATGGCGAGGAGTGTAGCCCGTAATCGTCAAGTATCAAAACGCCCGGTGATGAGACTTCGATTTGATAGAAGATATGTTTGCATTTGACTGTAAACAGGATCTCTGGATTATATCGGAGCTCGTGGAGTGGAAGTTGCAAGTGAAAAGTCAAAAGCTCTACACAAAAGAAAATGCATTGACTTTTGTATAAAAAGTGTGATGCTCATACAATCATTCCATGACCTTTTCTTCTTCCAGGGAGTCATGATTATCGATTCAAATCGAATCGAGTTATTTTAGATTTCTTCTAGGACTCATTATGATATCTCCAAACGAAGTCATATTCACTTTCCGAAAAGAGTCATTCGTGTGTCGGAAAGCGGTATTCACTGCACTGCAGCATCTCGCTGAATGCTAGTTCGCAGTCGCTATCATAATATAACACGCTAGGTCTTGAGACAAGGTTTCTGGATTAGTTCCGTATTTGCGCTCGTGTCGAAACACAAATATATAACAAAACGGTGATAGGAAGTGTAGACGAGATGTAGGTAGGCTTGACTCTTGAGAAGTAAAGGTTGTGCTATTGGTAGGCTAGAAGAGGGAGATGGAGAACTATATACGAGGGAGGAAATGTTTAGGCACACATTTAGCTCATGGTTAAGAGACGCAATCTCAAAGATATAGAGTGGTATTTCTAAAATTGCACGCCCGCTGGTAGGTTCATATCTACAAAACCACACGCGAAAAGTATTGTACACACGAAATACAAAAGTAGAGATGTATAAAAAAAAATCTCTATCAACATACAAAATCTTTCTTGCGCATGATTTATCTACTTGAATTTGCCGAGACAATCATTGGGACAGGCGATTTCTGCACAGGTATTTCCTCATGCTCATCCTCGTCCAAATATTCCCACTCCTCATCATCCTCTGTTCTCTGTCCAAAAATCACCGATAAAATTCTACTCCACAATCCCTTCTTCTCCACCATTGCCAAGACAAGTACGACTGGTAAATGCCAAACACTTGCCCAGAAAAGCTTTTTTGCGCTTCCTTTTTGGCCCTCGTATTTCCAAAACCTGTAGGCCTCTCGGACCAGCCATGCATTTACAGGCATGCTAGCTGCTGCGAATGTCCATTCAGTTACATTCGCATAGCAAAGTCCGATGCATAGGGGTATGCATGCGATACTATATCTAAGAGCCACGCGACCATTCATGGCAGGATTTACCCAACATAACATTCTATATCCGGCGCCTTTGTATTCTTCACGAATAGACCAGGATAAAGGCATGAAATGCGAAAGTTGCCATGCAAATAACAATCCTGCTAGTAACCAACCTCCCGCACTATCTGGTCCGAGAAGTAAATCCTGCCATTCAGGTGTTGAGGAAGAAGAAAGATGTGACGAAGTTTGTCCAGCCGCAGCAGTCCATCCCATCAATGGAGGAATGCCTCCGACTATTGCACCGACCCAAGTATTAAAGACTGTAACTCTTTTCAATGGCGTATAAACACCAGCATATAGCCCAATGTTCAAAGCACCCAAAAAGGCAGTGGTGGGATTGACCCCATAATACAAACCTCCTACCCCAACAACTCCACTCGCAATTGCGAAAAGTAAAGCGCCACCCGGCGAAATGAGTTTTCGAACAAGGGGTCTATTTCGTGTTCGTGACATTTGCGCGTCGTATTTAGGTTCGTAAAGCATATTGAGGGTGTTTGCGGAAGCGGCGCATAGGGCCGTACCAGTCGTAAGGAAGAGAAGGGTGAGGGTGCTCAAACTGGGTGTTTCAAGAAGAGTCGAAGATAAAAGTGAAGGTACTGGGTATAATGTGTAGGCTGAACATGCGGTAAGAACGACGAGCATTGAAAGGCGGGGTTTGGTGAGAGACAAGAGGACTGATAATAGTCGTTTCATGGAAGATTGTGGAAGTGCGCTCGCGCGGTCGGCATGGACCGTGGAAGCATTTTCAGGAAGGAATTCTTTATCACCTTGTTGTTCGAGTAATTGTTTATGCCGCCTTCGTCGATGGGGTGGCAGGATTTCTGATTGTGCAGCAGTGACCGGTATCGCAGAACCCTTCTCAATGCTTTCTTTTGCCTCCTCTACGTCTTTCCTGCTGATTGCATCCACAGCAGTACTCATACCGCCCTTTCCTGCATTCCCGAAGATATCTCTATTTGCAAAGAAATACCCAGTCCCCAACCTTTGCACTATTGTTGTTTTCCTACCATTTGAATTCGAGAAATTCCTCCCAGCTCTTCGGATTCCGCTCAATTCCGTTCGCAGAGAACATGAGATGCATACATTCCCTAATCCATTTTGCCGTAAAGCGCCAGCAAATATAGGAGACCGGACAATCATTGCGAGTGTAATTGTCGAGCTTCGAAAGCCCTTAATAAGAGTTGCAATGATGTGAGGATATAAAGTTGCATGATTTCTCGGAAGTTACCGACCAATTTTCGGCATGAAAGTGATCGACCAATTAAACGGTGCTTATTTTGAGTGAGTATCTATATATTATGGAGGGCAGATGGATAGATTCCATGCATAGTGAAGAGATCAATATGCTAGAACACATTTTATATCAAATGCAATGTTCTTCAATGGAATTATTCACCAGAAAGTGTTTTGAATTTGTCGCCAGATAAGTGATCTTGATAATTGTCTAGGTCTCACACCGCCCGGCAGAATAGCTTCAAAAATATGCCCCGCAATCTGCTTGTGACATAGATTGTGAGAATGGAATTTGTTATATTGCTTATATTGTAAACCTCAAGTACTTATTATCCACGAGCAGTTACATTGATTTTAGAATTCCCAAGGGCAACAGGTCATAAATGACAAGAAACATGCCCAGCCAATATTCTAAATGAAACCATGTCGAGCCCGAATCCGTGATGAATTGCTCAAGTCTTGGTAGTGACAATCTTTAAAGGGTATCAAAGCACATAGCATATAGCACATAACTCATAGGCTTTTTCTAGCAAAGAGTCTTGGTTCTTTCCCAGAGCTTTGCTGTCCCTTACTAGGCAGTCTTCTTTGGTGACATACGATACAATATCTCTGCCTACAGTGGCTAATACACCTTCTAGAATGTCGATCATTCCTTTTCACCAGCCCTTTCATGATTCATTATACTGTACACTGACTTCGTATCTATTTGAAGCATATAATAGAACAGTCGAAGACAGGTTGTAATGTCTACCATGTGGCTGGAATTATATCGCCACTGTAGGCTTGTTTTCGGAGTTCCAACTGAATGTTGGATTTCTCTCATCCCTCGAATTATACACCTGCAACACTCACAACATTCCCTCCCAGAATCTTTACAATACCACGTCTAAGTTCCAATCTCTGCTCAATTTCGGAATCAGGCATGCCCTCAGACCTGCAAACCAGGACTGTTCGAATAGTCGCAACATCCAGGTACTTCCTACCCTGGAATCCCTTCCTGCCGATTTTCTCGAAGTCCCTCTCTGCTTCTTCTGCTATTCTGGATCTCGCCGCCAGAAGGGTAACCGCAGGATTATTTGCGGTTGGAAATATCGATTGCGAAGGTGTGGAAGCAGAAGGGATAAAATTGTTGCCGGATGTGATGGGATCTTGTGCTGAGGCTCGATTGAATGTAGATGAATTAGAGAGAGTAGGTGAAGGTGTAACAGGACCTAATTCACGAAGGCGAGAATTGAGACCAATATCTGGATCGGAGGCATCAAAGCTTATTGCTATAGAATATTACATTAGCAGGCGGATTCCTATCTCAGACTTCCAATTGAAACGCCGAAAGCCATTGACAGAAGATGACAAACATTGGTTCTTTTCAGATGAGGAGCTTGGTTCTGGATGAACAGTCGGCCCCAATTTTGCGGAAGTACTTGGTTGACTTGACTCTACATTTGTGCGGGGAGATGAAGGCGGCGGGGTTCGAGTTGGGTATTTGCGTGCAGTATTTGAAGCTGACAAAGAGGCTGCTTTAGAAGCTTTTGCTAGATTTTTGGATTGCGAAGCTCCCATCTTTTTCGTACTTCGAATTGTTTAAGGAGAAAAATTTGATGGCAACGTTATTGATGAGAATGGATAGTTGACGGAGCTCGATGATGCGCTGAGGGGCTTCAATGATTTCTGGGGAAGCTAGCCTAAACTTCAAGCCTGAATCGCAAGGTTAGGGTTATGATTGGCGGTAAGACTCCTTATCTTCGACCGCTACGAATGCTTCAACAGTGCTTACGCGGCATGAATTATATATATATATATATTCAAGTGACTTCTTCAAATTGCATCTTCAATTTCTTTCTTTCCATCATGTATAGTTCACAGTGATATTTCATCGTCTTGAAATAATGTTTGTATTATGTTATGTTTCGATTTTTTGTATAACTTTTCAGCAATGGCTAAATATATTCTTTCTAAGTGGGCACAGTATTGTTCCATGCAAAATACCTCCTCTCACAAAACTGTATCATGGTCGAAGAGATGGTAAATCTCTACCTGAAAGTCTAGAATAGGTTTCTTTGCCATGCGAGTGTATTACGATTTTTGTTCTTCGTTTAGCAATCCACCCCCCTGAACAGAGGCCAAATTAGCGTTCCGGTGAGCTTATAACCCTTCATCTGGCGTCAGAGGAACTTTAGCAGCGAGAAACGACAAAGCTCTGAAAGATGTAGTTACGTAAGTGATTTTCGGGATCAATTGATAAATTCAAGCCTTGCAATCCCGATAACGGTTTTCCCCTCTGCTAGCTCGTTTGAATAATTGAGGCTAGGGAAAGGCTTCTCCTATCTAGATTCTGCTTTCATTGCAAAGTCAACATGGATAGCTTCTTGCGGTTACGTTCATGATAATACGCTCTGTTCTGAACTCACCAAAGACAAGTGATTCCAGATTAGACTATTTGCTAATCATGCTTCAGCGAAATGGCCTATGGGATTATGGGCTCTACCAGAAATTCCCATCTTCTCACATTCCAAGCTACCCGCACAGCAAAATGCGCTTATTTTGACGGGGAATCCGCTACACTTATGGGGACAGGCCGAATGCACACACAAATGCTCCACATCTACGGCAATGTGACTGGCCCGGATCCTAATGGACATTTTGGACCAGGCTTAGTACAAGAATATGATAGGGCAAGAGGCCTCTGCTCTTGGGTGCACGAAAGAGGTCTCGGTGGAAAGGGCTAGGGAGTCGAAGGGTTTGTAAGAATGAATGCTGGATTCGAGATGACATGGTGTGATTTCGAGAGCGAAACCCTCAGATTAGTCGAACATTTGAATGTTACAGCTCCATTACTTCCCCAAAATGTACCAAATAAAGTGTACGAAAAGGAAGAGGCGGATCTCCTATCCTAACTTCCACTACCATCTAGAACAACTCGGTCACCGCAATCTACACATACAGAAAATCCCACTGAAAACCTTCCTGCCATGCCACCAAACTTCAGACGCGATTCTGAGAGAGAACCATTCCTTCGAAGTCAAGGCTGGAGTTGGTTCACAAGCGCTGCTGCTCATTACGGATCTTCTGGAGAAGGACCAGGACTTGGCGAAAATAGAGTTAAATTGCTCACATGTGGAATCCTAAACTACTACTCTCCTAAATTTGAGAGTCAAGCAAAGGCGCGAGGTTTGGTAGAAAGGGAAACATTGAACTTGACAAGCGAAGGGTTCTGGAAAGGTGGTCTAGAGGATGAAGATACAAGAATTACTGCGTTGAACGCTTTGATGCGAAGGAGAAGATATCAATACAGATGACGCAGCAATGATGAAAGAGGACTCAGAAAGAGTTCTCAAGAATTTACTCAGTCAATCTTCGAATTGTACCGATATTGACTGGACGACTATGACCGACGGGATTGTCCAAACCTGCAATTCACCCCTATCTCAACTTCTTCAAACCCTACAGACTTATTCTTCAGTCCCGCCATCCAACAAAACAACAGAAAGAAAGTGGATGCCATCCATTCGAGAAAAGACCCATTCATTCCTTCTCCCCTTCCTCGAATGTCCCTCTCCCAATGAACCCCCTTCAATCTGGCAACGAAACTACACTCTCTTCCAAACCACCTATTCCCGCTGTCACTACCACCACACGCGACTTCTTTCCCCATCCCTCAATATCTACCTATCACCCTCCAAACCCTCCCTCAAATGGGCCATCGAAGAACCCAAGCCGGAATCTGCAACATCCTAATCGACATTAGATTTTCCATCGAGAAAATCTAGACCAGCACATTCAACCAACCATCTCCAGACTCATGAAATCCATCCATTCTCACCCCCCAAAATCAAAAAGAAATCCTCCGCTGGATCCATGGTATACAAGAACTAAAAGCCTGGCTCGGCTGGGCCGGTGAATGGACAAGCTGTGAACATAAAAGTGCAGGAGATGAAAAATGTTATATTCCCATGTGGCCGATGTTAGGGAGAGAAAATGGACCGATTCGAGGTCCCCCGTCTGGGAATCGGTATGGAGATGGACCTGGGTCTGGCGAGGGATATAATGGGCCTCCTGGGCCAGGTGGATATCGACCCAGAAGAACGGAATGCGGGGTTGACGAGACTGATTAGTGGAAACCGAGATGTGTAGTTGTGGATTATATTATGGGGGGCTTGGGTAGTTGAAGGGTTGGGGAGAGGATGTGGATTGTTTGTATATTTCTTTCCGATACTTGGATAAATACTAGATTCGATGAAAGATGATTGGAATAACGTCGGAGGGATTCAGAAATCCACGGCTATTCAAATTCTCAATACTCATAACTTATCATCCCATATAATCAAGCCATACCATCTTCCCACACCTAACTGAACTCCAACCCAACTTGGCTGTAAACCCAATCCTCTTTCATAGATAGTGAATCTCTCTCCAATATATCCATTCCATACCCCGCCCTTCGGCCGCCCTATATAATCACGTCTACGTCCAACAAGATTGTGATTAGTTGGTACAGTGGTTAGAATGTGCAACTCAACTTCCAACCAGCTTAGAAGCCCTGTGACCAAATACAGCAAAAATAGCAAAATAAAAATAGCAAAAAAAGAAAAGACTCGGACTCTTCAAGAAGTTTCGCACTTCAACACCTTTTTTTGTTCTTTTTGGCTACTGAGAAGTAGTAAATTGCTAGTATCAATAAGTTATTGTATGGCTGGATATTTTTGACTGGAATGAGAACCTAGCACTATGCAAATTTCATTTCTAGGTAAATACAACGCTAAAACTCTCATCCAAAACTTCCTGCTCTGCGTGCTAATCACATTGCTGTCAAATCCCAACACACGCCTACCAACTTGAATGTCCGCCATCCATCCTCAGATCCGCGCCTGTAAAATACAGTCAGTGATTCGTCCTAAAAGTAGTACCAAGATTGAAGGGTAACATACCAGTCATGAAACTACTAGCATCGCTAACCAAAAATACCGCCGCCCCTCTGTATTCTTCTGGAGCACTCAATCTCCCCAACATATTTTGTTTTGGCCAGTCTGTTCTCCTTTCTGGGAATTTCTTGAATAGTTCCTCCACCATAGCTGTCACTATATATCCGGGAGAAATGGTGTTGACTCGAATACTATATTCACCCCACTCACTAGCCAAGTTTCTCGCAAGTTGTAGAACTGCGGACTTCGATGCGTTGTAAGCGGGACATATGAGACCCTGAAGATCACCAGTTAGTATGGATATGAAATCGCAGAGGCAGAGGATAAGACGAACCCGATTGGCAACAGTTCCACTCATACTGGCAATAAGCACTATACTCCCTCCATTTCCAAATTTCACCATTTGTTTTGCGACTGCCTGTGCTGTCATAAAAACACCGGTTACGTTGACACTCATCATTAAATCGACATCCTTAGCCGAGTATTCCAGAGCTGGAGTTTCTTGTTGGATTCCAGCTGCTGCTATCAGGCCATCCATTCGTCCTTCTGTCTGAGCTATCTCATCAATTATAGAGTTTAGACCCTCGACATCTCGTACGTCGATGCGGCGGTATGAGAGCGATGTGCCGAGTTCCTCCTTTGCACGCTGTGCAATGCGATCGAAATCGGGAGAGGGGAATTCGAGACGGTCAAGGGCGTATACTATGCTATTTGTTAGATGGAATCATTCAATCCCAAAATTGTTTTCGAGCTGTAATCGACATTGCATACCTTTAGCACCGGCCTCCAATAAAGCTTCTGCCTGTACCAATCCTAATCCTCTGCCAGCCCCGGAAACGCATACCACTTTATCGACCAAGTTGAATTCGGGTAGACGTTTTTTAGTCCCTAGATATGTTGAGGGCTGACCACTCTTGAGTGCTGCATTTTCGGCATCTGGCGCAGGCAGTGCTTGACTCGTTTGAGATGGCGGACTTGAGAGATGTGGAAAGACAGAGAAGGTGCGTGTGAGAGGACGAGGATGGGATCGGAAATATCTGATCGAGACACGTGAAACATTCCGAAGGGTAGACATGACTTTAACAGCTTTGGGTTTGTTGATAGTTGAGAAGAGAAGGCTGTGTAACTATATATTATGTGGTTTAGCTGCACAGCCTAGTAAATTGGAAGCTCAATGATACGTGATTGAAAAGAAGCGACAGTAAGACCGAACTATATGTAAAGCCCGTCTTAAACAACGCCTTTTAAGCGACTGTAGGAGCTAATGCCTATTTTAATGAATCACCAGGCATCTCGGATCCAAGACTGACTGGGGAATCGGATTCTAGCAATCAATATCACCTCTGCGGGGAAAGGCCATAACGAAGCCACTTGACTTTGCAGCAGTAGCACAATCATGGTTCTTTGTGGTTTGACACTTCATGAGCCAATCCTTCCAATCTGAAGCGGGGTAAATAACGATAACAAGCTCAACAAATCATCTAGAGCCTCAAATACGAAGTCACAGGAGAGGTACAAAAGGTTAATGGTCTATTTTAGATGTTCAGGACTTGGGGTAAAATGTGCTTCCCTCCACGACCCACCTTTTATTAGTATTTCTCCGCGTTCCAAGCCGGATCGCCGGATTAAGTAATCCGGGGACAAACAATGTGAGATCATGCAAGGGATTGACAAACACTTGATATCGGAATACCTTCCCTAGTGGTGAAGTGCATAGTACGTGCTTTTATTGGCAGAGTTCAAGCAATGATTCTAGTAAAGTACGAAGTAGCTCGACGTGCCGAGGTATTGCAACTTTAGCCAATGCTAAGAGTGTGTCACTACATATAGGTGTCTTGTCTAGAACAGCATTCTCTCCTTCAACTTGTCGTTTTCTACGATATCTTGTTCTTTGCTCAGAAACTCTGGAATATCCCAGGTGCAATTTATGTACCTGCCAGCTAACCATTCTCTTCTCTCTTGAGATAAAAAGCACATCGAATCGCCCGCAACTTCCGGATCATCTCTCAAGACTATTTCCAAGAGTTAGCAATCAACCTTCAATCATTTAGCACTTTATCTATGGAAACACAATCTACCTTTGTGAAGATATGCCGGCAATTTCTTAGCCATATCTGTATTAACGGCGCCAGGATGTACACAATATGCCAGTAATCCTTCTCCTGCATACTCTGTCATTGTGAATTCTGTTAATCTCAATAGTGCGAACTTCGAGGTTTGGTATCCGCTAGCTCCGGGTCGCAACGAATTTGCTCCAGTACTGGCTACATTGATGATTGTCTTCAGTCCACCCTTTAGCATCAGGGGAAGAAATCCGCGAGTCATCCAATATACCCCACGTATGTTGACTTCAAATGTCTGCCACCAGTCATCATGGTCTGAGTCAATTATCGATTGACTGGCTGCTAAATATCCCGCATTATTGATCAAGATATCCAATCTTCCGAAAGTCTTCTTAACCTCTTGGACTGCGTCTTTAACACTTTGGTGGTTGAGTAAATCAAGCTTGATCAACAAGACCTTTGGGGAGGTCTTTCCTGCCGCCTTTGCTGCCTCTTCAATTTCTGTCTCGAGTGAGGAGAGATCTGATCTTGCACCGATAGCAATCCCTTCAGCTCCAGCTTTCGCGAATGATATAGCTGTAGCTCTGCCAACACCTTTCGAAGCACCTGTTATGAAAACTATGTGTTTGCTATGGTCGGACTTAGTCGCGGAATCAATTGCGGGGTATGTAGTGTTGTGCAGAGTGGCAGTAAAGTTTTGGCCTATTGTATGTTAGTTAAGGATGCGAAATTGGATGATGAGCTTTACCATTTGGAAGAGGGACGGGCGGATACGACATTTCGATCTTGAGTCTTGATATTCACGATATAAATCACAACGAGGGGAATGAGATATGAAAGAGAGGGATAGAACGAAAAGTAATACTTAGTCAAAGATACTCGTAAAATTGAAAAACCTTGTAGAGCGACGACAGCATGCAGAATGGCCAATACTACTTCCGCATCGCTTCGATGCAACAAGGTCATCTGTACTCACATTATTGATTGATTAATGGCTGCTGGTTATTATGGTTCAGACAAACCCGCAGTTACAAGGGCGTGTTTTTGATGAGGGCCCAATTAAAATTTAAGCGAATTTTTTCATCAAAACTATGCTTCATTCTCTATTTTTTATAAATATAAATTAATTCAAATAATTATTATAAAACTATAAGATTTAGAAGGATATAGAGATTTAATGAATAATTACTTTTTTATTAAGAATATTAGTTTATGTATTATAAAAGTTGATCAATTCTATATAGAAATTTAATTCTTAAAATAATTATTATTCTAATAAAGGAGCAGGCCAGTGGAATGCATATATTATTGACT